ACTCGCCAAGGTTGTAAACTTCATCATTTTTATTCAAATTTGTCATGACCGCTTTTAGAGGAAATCTTTTCAGGGGTGAACGTTCTACCAGGAGACTCACTTTTCAACTTAGAATATGCCTATGACATAGTTTTTATTCGGTGAAGACGCCGATAAAATGCAGTTTTCTGAACACCTTAAGCAACAATGCAAGCATGTTCGGGATGCGATTCTCCCCTCGAAATGCGAAATGTCGTTTTAGGATTGGCTTGTGTCGGCACCTCACTAGTGACAGCGAATTTAGTAGTTGAGCATGTTGATCACCTCACTTATCTTGGGAGCCTCATGAGTGCTGATGGTCTAGTATTCGAAAAAATCTCAGCATTGATACAGAATGGTCGACTGGCCTTTGCAACCTCACTTATGGCGTGGGCGAGATACTAAAGGACGAGTGTACTGCGCAGCAGTTCGCTCCGTCCCTACTTTGTGGCTGTGATGCATGGCAGGTTAGAGTAGCGAGAGTGAATTCCTCGTCACCTCTATTTCTTTTAATGTTTATTGCACTGTATTATATTTCTTAAATAGTATCTCAAACTCTATCTTTCCGATTACTGCTCATATTCTACTACCTCTACTAATATAGGATTTGAACTGACAATTGCATCTCTGTGCTAATGTGGTATGGCAACTTGAACTGAAGTATGAACGTACGAAGTTCTATGTTGTATCTTACTGATTGATTGATGCGCTAACACCAGGTAAAGCACTTCTAGGTGCGACAGACCTACAATTCGGCGCCATTTTTCAAAATTGCATAGTTACGTTGATAACGGACATGAAAATTCAAGTTTTGGTTGACAGCGATGTTTTTCTTTAACTTCATGCCTCTTACTTGGTGTTTAGTATAATGCGGCAGGAACGACGAACTCAAAAATTACTTTTCTAAAATAGGATTCTGTCTGAAAAGCTGAGACCACTCTTAATCATAGAAGTTCACTGAATACTAGTTTGTAATGCTTCTGAAGATCAAATTATCTAGTGGTAAGAGAACTTGTTGTTGGTAGAAATAAATCTGGCTTGCCCTTTTCGGGTTAATTTATACAAACACTGAGGTGGCAAATTTAAACATCATAAAACTGAGAACTTTTGAAAGCTGAGGAAAAATTGACAGTTAGTCCAAGCATTATTTGAACAATAAAAATGAGTTTGCTCGAAACTTATACAAATCAGATAATGAACTAAAGTGGAAACAATTACAGATACGATTGCTTTTTATTAATTTACAAATCCTTTTGCGTTCACATGATCTATTCGGTGTTGGTTTCAGTTTTCGTCTCAGGTTGTGTGTAATGTCTGTATTCAGGTTTAAGTTCCCACATATTTTTATGTGGAATGTGAGTGTTAAAGATAGCGATTTCCTTCAGTATCTCTGTAAGATAGGCCTGAGAATAAAGATATATCACAAAAAAAAACAATGTTCTGGTTTATATGATATATATATATATATATATATATATATATATATATATAATTACTGGTTTTGAACATACAAATTATACTACGACTGTTAATTGGCAAAACTCATTTAAAGAAACAAGTAGCTCTACTATATACATATACAACAAGACTGTTTTCATATTGTGACTTTTGCCTAAATTCGAAATCGCTTATAAACAGCTACCCTCATATTGCAACCACTAATCTGTGCAATTAATAGATTTAACTAGTCGTCTGACTTCAAACGAAGTATCTGACATGACAGCACTAATCTTGGTAAAAATAAGTCATTCCCGATACAATGATAGCAGCATTATTTTCGGATAATTTTAAGATATACAAACTGGTGCTAGCACATATTGAAATCAAGGTAATGGCTTACAAACACAACGTAAACAAAAGGGTCAAAACACATCAGCGACACAAGCACAACAAGTTGATACAATTATCCTAACATACAAAAATAATGGATAAAACCAATAGTTTTAACCTATAAGTACTGGGAAATTTCTAACTGCAGTTGTAAGCAAATGATAGTGAGATATATGCAATCAATCACCGGACGTAGTACATGCTAGCAGATTTGATGGTGTAAACATCTGAACATTATCAGAAATATGATTAAAGCTAACTGGAACCAAGAGAATATAGGGAATTAATTGTAAAGATGCTTACCAATGGTTGCTTAGTAAGTACAACCAAATCTTTAATAGAGTAATATTGGTGTCTTTCGAAAGCTTTGAACAAATCCTGCAAGACGTCTTCTTTTTCACGTCTAAGGTTTTTACCCTCCGCCTTTTTCCGATTCTCGTACTCGATCTGAAAAACAAATATTTAACGATTCTGTAGCAAAACAGGTACAGAAAACTTGGCATTGATCAAGTGACAGGCAAAAACGAGTTTGGTGATACTATACGCGGTGGCTATTATTGTAAAATATCCGGTGACATTCTGAATAAACGAAAGTTAGTGTGAGGTCAGTAAACTGTAAACAAGTTTGAAAATATCACCTCTTTGACTATTCAGGGCAAGAATAATTTTTCTATAAAAAACAAACTGCTATTCATGGCTTATCAAATGCTTAATACAGAAAGAAGTGGCAGTTATTACGCACTCTTAGCAAACAGTCATACCAGTAGGTCAAGTCACAAATCTGGAGCCACAGTGGTGTATTAGGTAGCGCGTTCGCATACTAGATGGGAGGTGACAAGAGCTAGCTGGTGGACTGAGCCCACTCAAACTGACATGAAATGGACCGCAAACTGTTCCAGTCAACGGTGTCCCAAGTAGGCACGGCGCCAAATATGGCCAGTAGCGAGCCCCCAAGTGCCCTGGTATGGCCATGAGCTGGGAGAGTCCTCTATCCCTCTCTAAGTGCCCCAATGAAGCCATATGTTTATAGCCACTGCCAGGGAGGTTCCGTTCACTGCATTTTCGGGGTGGGGTGTCACTTACAGAATTGAGAGGACGAAAAGCGAATGTCCGGCGCTTTACCAGGGTTGGCGAGTCGGGAGGGTCTATTTAGCGGAGTTGTAAACCCTAGTTTCAAACCAATCGCGCAATCGGGCTCTAAGATCTTAAAAGAATGAAAAGCGAATGAACCTAATATGGGACTGCATTTCCTCAAATCGCTACACTGTCTTGTGGTCAAGGGTTCGGAGCGTGACCCCCCCAGGAAAACTACTTGTCTCGGTTTTGGCACCCAGACAGTACATTAATGCACTGAAAGACTCAATAATTAGTGTGGTGCACAAATATTTGGGTTCTCTTTTGTACTAATGTTTGTACTTGAACAAAAAGATAATCGGAACATCAGTCTTGTTTTAATTCATTACATAAAATGAGGTAAACATATTTCACGAGCAATGTGTATCAGTTCGAAGATGAACTTGGTAGTGACATACCATAAACCAAGAAGTGGATAGGACTTGAATATGAAATCAACAGATATGTAAGTTAGTATGGATAGCAGGGAACATAAAAAAGGTATTTATGTTGCTGAAAACATTGATAAGTCACGGTTAAATTACAATACCTCTTCACGAAAATAGTAACTGGCAAACATGACACTAGTATAGCGAAACTATCCTTAATAAACCTATATTGAGTTGATATAGCATTCCAGTTCAAGATTTATATAATCACCTTATTGTGATAATGCTTTATTCCAGTCATGAACCGTGAGTTAACAAAAAAATGGGTGGCAACAGTGATAAAATAGAAGAAATATACTTACATTGTTCACATGATTGGAAACTGGTTTATAATTCCTTACTGGTTCATAAAGGAGACAGACTTCATGTCGTGGTCGATTCTTTGCTTTGAGCTTGAGAAAATAAGGAAATATATAACTAGGACAGGAATGAAGGTTGTGCATCTTTAAAATTAGGATGGACAAGAAATAGGACATTGAATAGGAAACATTCTTTGAACCTACATAGGCTTCTGGATAAAAACAGAGGCTTTTACCTGTTGAGCTTTGAGCATCATATATCTTGTATTAGGTGGTGGTCTGCATTCGGCTCGACTGTTTACACGCCCAAACAAAGATAGCCGCCGAGAGTAACGAGAATACGGTTTATTCGAGAATGGAGACGGAGGAGATGCAGAGGAAATCAGAGTTGTGTTACTCGCCGAAGGTGGAAACGAGTTAGCCTGTGCACATGCAAGGTCGTCTTCGCATAGTATTATAAGTTCTTGTCCAGATATAGCCCCAGGACGCCTTTGAGCTGTCGAACTTGGTGTCGTTTGACCTGGGCGAACAGCTGCAGGTGTATTATTTGATGATGTAGAAGTTTGAATCAGAAATTGGTGTTCCTGATAACAAAAATGAGAATTCGTTTAATGAGCAAGCACATATCTACTTGGTGAGGAGCAAGTCAGTGATGAAACCAATAAATAAAGGTGTATTTAAACGCATCATCTAGTGACCCAAAGATAGGAAATGGAAGCCTGTGTGCAAAAGACCAGAAGTTAGGTCAAAGATGCTTTTTTAATACCATCGACCACAAAATCCTCATTCAGTACTTTTTGTAACGACAAAACATTATCGAAATTTATCATTTGTGATAACAACACTCTAGGCATAAAGAAAAGCATCTCTTAACATGGCGAACCCCAAAATCGTCACAACGCTGGACCCAACTGTAACACATTGCCATCAGCCACCGCTGGAGGTTCGATAAAGGACTGTCGCTCGTACTGGGGCACATGCCTAGATTCAGATCATGCCCTAGTGCGAGCGCGTATTTGTTGGTGACTTACTGGACGAAGGAAAGACACCAACAGAAAACCTCTCAGGGTTCTACCTAATGATAGCATAGCTAAGAATATATTTCAGGAGCAATTAGAAAGATAGTTAGGCGGCCGTTTAAGTGATTCCCATCCGGAGGCAGTTTGGAATGATATCAAAAAGGCTGTGAAAACAGCAGTGATATCTACTAGTAAGGTAAACCATAAGGCTAGGATGAAGCCGTGGATCTCAATAGCATCTACCAAACTGATGGATGCTCGAAAACGTATCCCACCTGGCTCTGAACATGGTGAGGAGTGAAGTCAGCTTAAGCGCAGGTAGATAAAAAGCCTACGCAACGACCGTGAACAATGGTGGGTGGCGAAAGCAAAATCGATGGGAAAGACAGCGGAGATAGGCAACAGTAGGCAACTACTCAGACTCATTAGGGAAACCGGCATTAGGAACACCAATGTGAGTAAGACTATTTCGGAAAACGATGGTCTTATTATTCATTCTCGATCCAGGAGATTGGATAGATGGGCCGAACACTTCAGGGATCCATTCATCTGGCCTTCAGCCACATTTCCGTTGCCCGAGATCTCTAGTCAACCTGAATCGCAAATCGTCCGACTATTCATGAAGTTGAGAAAACACCAGAAATCGGAAGCGAGGGGAAGCAGCGGGTCCGACAGATTGACCCCTGAGATTTTCGAGGATGGTGGTCCAGTTTTACCAGCTAGATTGACTGAGATCTTACGTAGAATCTGGGAACTGGACACAATCCCATCTGACTGGTCTCAAGCCCTGATTATCCCCATACGTAAGAAATGATTAAAGTCCCCTTGAGAGAGTCACAAGGAAATCAGCGTCTAAAATGTTAGCCTCGATAATACGCAGACGCCTAACTGGAGCGCTTGTAGATCAAATTTGAAAAACCAGGTTGATTTCAAACCTGAACGTGTCTGAAAATACCGGATATTCACACACAGACAGGTCCTAGAAAGCAGACAGACAGAAACAACGCAGAACATTGTAAGTAAGTAGATCAGTTCATGTTGCCATACCGCATGAGCACAGAGATGCAAATGTCAAACCAAATCCCATAGTGATAAAGATAGTAGAGGTATTAATGGTGATGAAGAAGGTTCGAAGATATTATTCAAGAAGTAAAATAAGATTAGAGAGACAAAGGTAGAGGTATTGACGAATCCAGAAGATTAGGATTTGAGAGAGCTCAAAGAGTGGATGCACCTGCGCCATTGCAAACGATTTTGAGCCATGTCACTCAGGGTCTCTAACCATTGATGACTTTCGCCTCGCGGACCCCAACCAGGTAGTCTACATCTACCAACATGACTCAGTCCACTTGTCAGTGACTTCATGGATTTGTGCCATGTTTTCGTCTGGCCGCCCCTAGCCTTCTTCCAACCTACTCCTACACTGCAAAACATAGCTCGTCGAGGCAGTCGGTGGTTAGGCATACGTAACACATGTCTCAACCACCTCAACTGATGAAGTTTCACCGCTTCATCTACTGATCTGCCATCCCTACCTAGTACTCGTTTCCTAACGATAGAATTGCTTACTCGATAGTCCAAGATGGGGGAGCAATGCTTCTTAAACATCTATGATCGAATACTAGTAACCTACGAAAGTCCTCTACTCTTAACGGCCAAGTCTCGCATCCGTACAGTAGGACGGAGCGAACTGCTGCAGAGTACACTTGTCCTTTGGTTGGCAAACGGATAACTCGCCTGAGCCATAGGTGATGCAGGTTGGCAAAAGCAGATCGAGCCTTCTGTATCTGAGCTGAGATTTCCTCAGTCACCAGGCCATCAGCACTGATGAGACTCCCCAGATAAGTGAAGCGGTCTACACGTTCGACTACTTCAGTCTCTATCACTAGTTTCCTTGATAAGTCAGAAGAGTTGTCTACTGTTGCCTTTCGCCGCTGCAGAACGCAGACACACATTTAGGTGTCCGACAATAGTTGACTACCATAAGTAACAATGCAAGCATGTTCAGGATGCGGTTCCCCCCACATGAAATGCAAAATGTTGTTTCAAGACTGGGTTGCATCGGCACCTGAACTAGTGATAGGGAGTGAAGGCACTGATAGGATGGGAATCTCATGGACCGAGGATCATTAAAGCATCCTTCAAAACAAAGAAAGATGACGTTACAATGAACGTCATCGAATGCTATGCACCTACCAATGACTACAATGACGACGATAAAAATGAATTCTGCGAAAGGCTGCAGTCAATCGTCGACAGATGCGCACCAAAGGATTTGACGATTCTAACGGGAGAGCTTAATACCAAGGTTGGCATGGACAACACTAGATATGAAGACATCATGGGACGATATGAACTAGGAGAAAGGAACGAAAATGGTGAGAGATTTGCAAACATATGTGCCTTCAACAAACTGGTCATCGGTGGCACAATATTCCCACACAAGCGCATACACAAAGCTACATGGATTTCACCGGACCACACTACTCAGAACCAAATCGGCCATATCTGTATCAATAAAAGGTTCAGAAGGACCATGGAGGATGTAAGAACCAAAAGAGGATCTGACATAGCCTCAGATCACCACTTGCTGATCGCCAAAATGAAACTGAAACTAAAGAAGCACTGGACAACAGGGCATGCAAAATCACAGGAGTTTAATACGGCCTTTCTTCGTGATTCCGTAAAACTCGACGAATTCAAGATAGCCCTCAGCAATAAGTACTACTCAATGGAGAGGAAACAACCATGGAGAACAATCGGAAAGGGATCAAAGAGGCAATCACTTCAGTATGTCAGGAGTTCCTGGGTCACAAGAAACACCATCACAAGGAATGGATCTCTGTTGGTACTCCTGAAAAAATTGAACAATGAGGAACAAGAGGGTAGTAATCAATGTCAGCCGAACAAGAGCAGAGAAAGTTAAGACGCAAGCACAGAAGCAAACAGGAAAGTGAAGAAGAACATCAGAGCCGACAAACGGAAATATGTGGAGGATCTAGCAACGACGGCGGAAAAGGCTGAAAAAGAAGGACACATGAGGCAATTGTACGAAACAACAAAGAAGCTCGCTGGAAACCATCGTAAACCGGAACGACCAGTGAAAAACAAGGAAGGCAAAGTAGTCAGCAACACAAGAACAGCAAAACAGGTTGGTAGAGCACTTCAAGCAACTCTTGAATCGACCAGCTTCACTGAACACACCCAACCGACCAAATTGCAACGTTACGGATCATTGTGGAACAATCAATTGAATGGAACTCACCACTCTACATCAACTTTATCGACTACGAGAAAGCATTCGATAGCGTGGATAGGAAAACACTGTGGAGGCTTCTTCGACACTACGGTGTGCCTGAGAAAATGGTTAACATCATACGAAATTCTTATGATGGATTCAACTGCAAAATCGTGCACGGAGACCAGCTGACAAACTCGTCCGAAGCGATGACCGGTGTCAGGCAAAGTTGCTTACTTTCGCTTTCTCGTGAAGATCGACTGGATTATGAAGATGTCAACATCTGGAGGGAAGCGCGGTATTCAGTGGACAGCTAGGACGCAGCTGGACGATCTGGACTTCGCAGACGACCTGGCTCTTCTGTAGCAAACGCAACAACAAATGCAAGAGAAGACAACCAGTGTAGCAGCAGCCTCAACAGCAGTAGGTCTCAACATACATAAATGGAAAAGTAAGATTCTACGATACAACACGACATGCGCCAACCAAATCACGCTTGATGGAGATTCTTTGGAGGACGTTGACACCTTTATATATCCTGGCAGCATCATCGACAGCCAAGGTGGATCCGATGCAGATGTGAGGGCGCGGATCGGCAAAGCAAGGGCTGAATTTCTACAATCGAACAATATCTGGAACTCCAAACAAATATCAATCAACACCAAGTCAGGATTTTCAATACAAATGTCAAGACAGTTCTACTGTATGGAGTGGAAACTTGGAGAACTACGAAAGCCATCATTCAGAAGATATAAGTATTTATGAACACTTGTCTACGCAAAATACTTCGGTTTCGTTGGCCAGACACTATCAGCAACAACGTACTGTGGGAGAGAACAAACCAGATTCCAGTGGATGAAGTCAGGAAGAAGAAGTGGAAGTGGATAGGACACATTGAGAAAAGCACCGGACTGCGTCACAAGACAAGCCCTCAAATTGAATCTTCAAGGTAAAAGGAAGGCCAAAGAATACATTACGCCAAGATATAGAGACATGAGAAGAATGAACAAAAACTGGAAAGAACTAGAAAGGGAAGCCCAGGAGAGAGATGGTTGGAGTGTAACAGGCGTAAGTAAGGATAGTTTTATGCAAAACATACTACCTACCTTTGGTATCAGTTTTCCAGACTCCCCAACTTGATTTAATAGTTCAGGGTCTGTAACAAGCGTTACTTGCGAACCTGGACCTTTGTTGCCGTTCTGAGATGCACTCGTTGAACTTGCAATCACAACTTTACCAACTACACCATCAGGGCCAGCATTATGCCAAAGTTCAGCTAAATATTTCGGGACTTTGACTAACCACACTCCATCTTTGGCTCTGCTTGTATCAACTACATGCAAGGCATGTGCATCGCAAAATATATCAGACACACCCTTCGACTTTACATTAGACATAAGCGAGGGACTAAAGTTAGGTGTAGCAGTTTGCGTCTAGCCAGAATGTACCTTGTTTACTGGGGGAGCATGCACAGCAGCGCGCGTGAAGACTGGAAAAAATCAAGAAGTGAGTCAATTACCAAGTGGACCCATAAAACGCACTTACTCTCAATAGTAATAGCAATAAACAAAAATCACTGACCACAAAAACTTCAGATTCAGAGAATCTGGAGAGCGAAAATGATAGGGAATAGAGCGAAGATCTTAATTCGTTACATCAGGTTCACTTCAAACTTGCCTCCTTTGATTCCCGTGACCCTCTGTAGACGGTTATTCCGTATCTAAATTCTCAAGGTGTGTTTCAATGTCCAATATTTTTTCACGAACTTGTGTAAACCAATTGATTTCTTTTCGCTCGATTCTTGTTCTTGCGGTACGGATCCGGGTGTTCGGTAATGTCCAATGGATGGAGGTGTAGCCACTCGACCGTCTAATTCTAGTCAGTTGGCAATTGGTTGTGAGATTGTATGTCTCGGGATTTGAATGAAATGTTTGTTTCAGGGCCATAGGGTTTCTGGATACCAGCAGCCATCACATTACCAGTCGAATGTTAATGTTTTCAGTTTTCGCAATAATATGTATGCAACCGAAGTTTAAAAACGTTAAACGTAGTCGAAAAACATTTCAAGTTTGTTCTATTTCTTATTTGATGTACACAGAAGTTCTGTTTTTGAACAGTTGTAAATTGAAAGGCTCCCGTTAGGCTTCGTTAGAAATTCTACTATATTTCGACGAATTTCCGAATACAAGTGAAAAGGTTGACGCATATTTTTAGGGCGTTTATTTACGTTGGGTTAGGGTTGCGTCTAGTTTAAAGATTTATGTGAACGCGTATCTGCCTTGGTTAGCTAAGACCGGAATGCTTGAGCGGTGGAATTTATTATGCACCCGTTCAGTGGACCGTAAAAATATCTGTAAATCACAAGAACACACGTTGAGTATCAATGAGAAATATCGTTTTGAATCCCTTTACCATTTATCCACATTTTAGAGCCCCGACAATTTTTCTATTGCGTAGAATTACGAAATCACCACGCCTGTCATTCTGGACTATAGTAATGGTGTCGTAACCCTGTACTTTAGCATGCTCAGTCGGAAATTCTTCGGCTATTTTACTGTCGTCGGACTAACCAATTTTTGTAGTGACAGCCTTTTTGAAAGTTTGTCACAAATTAACGTTTTCTTATCTGTTCACATCTGTTTGACTCGCAGCTACTGGGTCATCAGTGATTACTTGCGCTGAAGATCAGTGCACTCTGTTTGAAGGTGTGAGAAAGTAGGAAGGTTGACTCCTTTGAGACGGTTGAAGGAAGTCATACAAGGCAAGACCTCTGCGACTACACTGTTTGCCTAAGAAATTTGTATATCTCTAATAGACTGTGAGAGGTAATCGAACTGTGGGGATTTTCGGAGAGAGTGTTTATCTAGAGACGAGACGATGAAACGCTCGAGGTTTATGGTCTCAGTAAAGAGCAAGTCGTTGGCCTCGTATAGAGGGTTAAAAGTGTCTTGCGGCACAATATATTGGTAGGAATTCCATACCGACATTCAGTTAATTAGTGAGACAAAACACAGAATTTCGTGCGTAAGTACATCAGTTCAAGTTCTCATACCACATCAGTACAGAGACTCAATTACCGATTTAAAACCCACAGTAGTAGAGGTAGTAAAAGTATTAGAAGTAATCGGAGAGATTAGGGTTGGATGACATTATTCAAGAAGTACAATTCAGTGACAAAAATTTTAAAGATAAAGATAGAGATGATGAGGTAGTTAGAAGATAAGAATTTGAGAGACCACAAAGAATGAATGACCCTGAGCCACTGCAAACGATTCTGAGCCATGCCGTTCAAGATCTCTATTCATCAGTGAATTTCGTCTTGTGGGCCCCAACCAGGTTGACTATATCTAACAACAGGACTTAGTCAATTAGTCCGCGATTTAATGTATTTTTGCAACGTTTTCATCCGGCCGCTCACAGCTTTCGTAAAACCTATTCCAACGTCCCAAAACATAGCTCGTCTGCCAGTTCTGCTAATCCACCCAGTCTCCTGGATTGAGAATGAATAATAAGACCATCGTTTTCCGAAATAGTCTTACTCACATTGGTGTTCCTAATGCCGGTTTCCCTAATGAGTCTGAGTAGTTGCCTACTGTTGCCTATCTCCGCTGTCTTTCCCATCGATTTTGCTTTCGCCACCCACCATTGTTCACGGTCGTTGCGTAGGCTTTTTATCTACCTGCGCTTAAGCTGACTTCACTCCTCACCATGTTCAGAGCCAGGTGGGATACGTTTTCGAGCATCCATCAGTTTGGTAGATGCTATTGAGATCCACGGCTTCATCCTAGCCTTATGGTTTACCTTACTAGTAGATATCACTGCTGTTTTCACAGCCTTTTTGATATCATTCCAAACTGCCTCCGGATGGGAATCACTTAAACGGCCGCCTAACTATCTTTCTAATTGCTCCTGAAATATATTCTTAGCTATGCTATCATTAGGTAGAACCCTGAGAGGTTTTCTGTTGGTGTCTTTCCTTCGTCCAGTAAGTCACCAACAAATACGCGCTCGCACTAGGGCATGATCTGAATCTAGGCATGTGCCCCAGTACGAGCGACAGTCCTTTATCGAACCTCCAGCGGTGGCTGATGGCAATGTGTTACAGTTGGGTCCAGCGTTGTGACGATTTTGGGGTTCGCCATGTTAAGAGATGCTTTTCTTTATGCCTAGAGTGTTGTTATCACAAATGATAAATTTCGATAATGTTTTGTCGTTACAAAAAGTACTGAATGAGGATTTTGTGGTCGATGGTATTAAAAAAGCATCTTTGACCTAACTTCTGGTCTTTTGCACACAGGCTTCCATTTCCTATCTTTGGGTCACTAGATGATGCGTTTAAATACACCTTTATTTATTGGTTTCATCACTGACTTGCTCCTCACCAAGTAGATATGTGCTTGCTCATTAAACGAATTCTCATTTTTGTTATCAGGAACACCAATTTCTGATTCAAACTTCTACATCATCAAATAATACACCTGCAGCTGTTCGCCCAGGTCAAACGACACCAAGTTCGACAGCTCAAAGGCGTCCTGGGGCTATATCTGGACAAGAACTTATAATACTATGCGAAGACGACCTTGCATGTGCACAGGCTAACTCGTTTCCACCTTCGGCGAGTAACACAACTCTGATTTCCTCTGCATCTCCTCCGTCTCCATTCTCGAATAAACCGTATTCTCGTTACTCTCGGCGGCTATCTTTGTTTGGGCGTGTAAACAGTCGAGCCGAATGCAGACCACCACCTAATACAAGATATATGATGCTCAAAGCTCAACAGGTAAAAGCCTCTGTTTTTATCCAGAAGCCTATGTAGGTTCAAAGAATGTTTCCTATTCAATGTCCTATTTCTTGTCCATCCTAATTTTAAAGATGCACAACCTTCATTCCTGTCCTAGTTATATATTTCCTTATTTTCTCAAGCTCAAAGCAAAGAATCGACCACGACATGAAGTCTGTCTCCTTTATGAACCAGTAAGGAATTATAAACCAGTTTCCAATCATGTGAACAATGTAAGTATATTTCTTCTATTTTATCACTGTTGCCACCCATTTCTTTTCCATTTCACTGTTCCGCTTCTCGGCAATCTTGTAATAAAGCTTTAATTCACGGAGTCGGAAGTCCTTGATCTAATATGTGGTGCGACAATTTTGTCGTCTACCATTTATATCACCTTCCTTCCTTGTGAGAAGGAACCTTCGATGCAGATGCTGGCTGCTTAGGGAAAATGTTTAATTACTGTGACACATTTTAACATTTAGAATCGTGACTACGCTCTCAGTCTCTTTGTTCTCCAGTCGAACTGCCTGTCGCGGTCGAAGTTACAGCACCATGTATTCGGGCTCCGTTGTTTCATCGCGATCGGCAAGCTCGACCAGTATCTTATGGGATCAGCTACGGTCAGGATTCGTTTTAGTTCAAGATCTATTTTCTCGCTCACATTGGCTTAGGACACTATCTTTATCAGTTCTATTATTTAGAACATTTTGGTGCTTTGATTGGAAATCGAGAAGTTAAATGTATGTAGAAGCCCGCACATACGAAGCCTGTGAGTAGTAGGGATGGAACAAACGAGGATACGTTTAATAACGTTGCTTAATCCAATGTTGGTTAAATACGCTGACGTTAGACATCACCATGCAGTAAGAAAACTGAATTCAAAGGTTTCAGAGCAACCCAAACAGAACCTTGTATTTTATTTAATTCTCGCATGCCACAAATGGGAGGTTATTATAGAATGGACAAATGCGAGGCATCCTCTACCTTGTATAGGTAACCAACCATGTTGAAATCGATCATATATGTACTTTAATTATTACTAATAATAGCAGTTCATGCTTCACATATCGTTATAATTGGCGGTTAATCAAGAGATAGCAACATTACCAAATCTTTCTTTTCATTAAGGATGGGACGAGTGTTGATAAGAAATGCCTTTAACTAATGTTCTGCTGGGCCAAAGTACTTGGGAGTGTCTCGAGTAAAGGATAGTGGTGTGATATATATATAGTAATGTGATATATTCACGGGGACTAGTCCTTAATTGATTATGTCTAACTGGTTGTATATTATTGTGTGGTTCGTATTCAAGTAATTTACTGTTCAAATGGACTGTTTTAGAAATTTAGGTGTCGCTATATTTCCCGGTGTTTGTTGGGACTCGTGTTTAACTTAAAAATGTGGAGTCCGTAGATTCAGAAAGATCTGCAGGCTTCTTTTTGATCGACGCGTTTATTATTTTTTATGACGTTATCGTTTTTCCCTACTTGACTGTTCGCTGTAATACAGCCATGCTCCTTTAGTGCTTCTAATCCTTTTGTACGATGCTGATAAGATGTTAGATCTGGAGTAACCCTTATGTTTTCATATGGATTTATTGAATGAATATTGTTGCCCAAAAGAAAAATTATTTAGCGCCATTACAACAGCTAAAATTTGAAAAAGAGGGTACACTAATTTATTAGATTTTTCCTTGATAGATGACTTGGAAGCTGACGTTTAGCATCTTTGTCTGCGAAAAAGTATCCGAAAATATTAGCATTTACGAAATTATTATGTGAGAGAATACTGTCTCTTAAGCACTCCCAAGTACGTGTAAGTTTGAGTTTATGTGTGAAGAACATATTCATACACATGATTGTGTATACTGGATAAGGGAAACTGAATACGACGAACGTAGGCGTTTCGTTGAAAGACTAGCTCTAAACTCTACGTTCTGATTTGAAG